GGAAGGAAGGAAGGAAGGAAGGAAGGAAGGAAATTTTAAAAGCTCTTGAAAGTACCAGGCTTCCTGAAAGATAATGTAATTTTTTTTTTTTTTTTCAGATGGAGTCTCGCACTGTCACCCAGGCTGGAATGCAATGGCGCGATCTCGGCTCTCAGCAATTTTCCTACCTTAGCCTTCCGAGTAGCTGGGACTACAGGCGCCTGCTACCACGCCCAGATAATTTTTTGTATTTTTTGTAGAGACAGGGTTTCAACATGTTGGCCAGGCTGTTCTCGAACTCCTGACCTCGTGATTCGCCTGCCTCGGCCTCCTAGAGTGCTAGGATTATAGGAGTGAGCCACTGCACCTGGCCGATAATGTAATTTATTTCTTTTGGTATTCCTAAAATAAAATGGTATTAAGATATGAATGGTTTCTTTGCCTTTACTGTTTGTGTTTATTTACTAACATTCATTGAGTATTTATTAAATGCCAGGCAATGTTTTAAGAGCTTTTATCCATTTTTCTCTTTTAACCCTTTCAATCCCAAATGAGGTGGATATTATTATCCCCATTGTACAGAGGAGGAAACTGACAAAGTGAAAAGTGTCACTTTTCTTTGATTTGAACCCTCTAGTTGGATTCCATAGCTTGCATCTTAACTATTACACAATATAGTAAATCTTGTTTTCAACCTTGTTTCACTAATAGCAAGTGTGTAATTATAATTTTATCCTAAATTTTACTCTCGGCACTTTGAATATACAAGTAATAGTTCTATAAATACATGTAATATTCTAATAAGACTCTAATAAAACTACAGAATCCAAATCTCAGACCTATAACAGAAACATGTAGGACTCATACATTTTCCCCGCTAACACTGTCAGAGAAGGACTTACACTTTTAACAATGCAGATAATATTCACATGCTTCAGAAATAAGAAGACTTTGAAAATAATTCTTAATTTGTAATGGTAAGGCTGAAAATAAATGACATTCTTAGAAAATAGTCTGAGTTACAGTACTAATATATTCCTATTTTTTTTGGACAAATAAACAGACTCAAAACTTGTGTTTAGTTTAACAACACTATGTCACAATTAAGGCCCCAGACTGATATACATTACACAGGTGATAGAAAGAGCTAGACTTCCTCATCTATATCTTACACTCTGTGGCAATATGATCTAGTAAAAGAAGATAATCAAAATAAGGTAGACATGACTTGAATCTATCACACACCTTCAGATGGTTTGAATTCATCACACAGATTTTAGGAAGATTTACGTAAAAGAACCACATCTGCTGATAACTGTCCTGTTTCTAATAATTCCACAAAAATGAACTCTAAACCATCTCACTTTTATTTTCTTTTCTCATGAAAAATCTTCAATTTGTTCCATTATTATAATAAAATGAAATATGGGCTGAACACATTCATTTGATACTTTTTTTTTTCTCTTCTATTCTTTGATTTATAAACAGTAAATGGACAGACATGGTGGTGCACACCTGTAATGCCAGCTGCTCAGGAAGCTGAGGTGGGAGGATCACTTGAGCCCAAGAGTTTGAGATTAGCCTGGGCAAAATAGCAAGACCCTTTATATAAACATATAAAGTGTAAGTATCTTTTTAAAAAGTAAATTTCCAATGACTACATTAATTTTTTTAGAGTAGAAACTATAGGCCGGGCATGGTGGCTCACGTCTGTAATCCCAGAACTTTGGGAGGCTGAGGTGGACAGATTACCTGAGGTCAGGAGTTTGTGACCAGACTGGCCAACAGAGCAAAACCCTGTCTCTACTAAGAATACAAAAATTAGCTGGGCATGGTGGCCAGAGCCTGTAATCCTAGCTATTCGGGAGGTTGAAGCAGAAGAATAGCTTGAACCCAGGAGGGGGAGGTTGCAGTGGGCCGAGAGCGCACCACGCACCACTGCACTCCAGCCTGGGTGACAGAGCAAGACTCAGTCTCAAAAAAAAAAAAAAACAAAAAAAGAAACAAATAGAGTAGAAACTATAAAACTTCATGATGCTACTTATCACTATCAATGCCTAAGTCAACTAGCTGGTAAGAAATAAAACCAAATACTCTTCTTTTTTTTTTTTTTTTTTCCTGTTGTTGAGACGGAATCTCGCCTTTGTAACCTAGGCTGGAGTGCAGTGGCGCAATCTCAGCTCACTGCAGCCTCCACCTACCGAGTTCAAACTTCTCCTGTCTCAGCCTCCTGAGTAGCTGGGATTACAGGCACCCGCCATCACACCTGGCTATTTTTTGTAATTTTAGTAGAGACAGGGTTTGGCCATGTTGGCCAGGCTGGTCTCGAACTCCTGACCTCAGGTGATCTGCCTACCTCAGCCTCCCAAAGTGGTGGAATTACAGCCGTGAGCCACCGCGCCCAGCCCAAATACTCTTAAATGAAAAATAAAGTGTATAACCTGCCTTCCTTTGCCCACTCCCATATCCATACATCCTTACCTGTGTTTCTGCACTGCTTAATGAATGAAGATCCAAAGATGGGTCTGTTTTGAGTTCAGGTTCAGGAGCTGCAATCGGTGCCTTTAAAATGATCTCTTCATCAAGACTGGTTCCAAATTCTATCTCTTTCTGACCTCCTTCACCTTTTTCTTTATCTGACTCTACTTCTTTGCCTCCTTCTTCCTCGGACACCTGAGATTTGGGCCTTTTGAGAAACGAGGAGAACAGTCGTGAAAGGCCTCTGCTATCTGATGTCCGCTCCTTGTTCTTAGTCAAGTCTTCATGTGTAGGAGTGTCTCCATTAGAAGCTTTCAGCTTCTGTTCAAACTGATTATCTCCTTCGGCTACTGTTTGACAAGATTCCTCCTGCTGAGGTTCTTGTTGGCCTGAGTTTATGGCTCCCTCACCCTCTTCCTTCTGTTGGTGCTGTGAATTTTCGGCCTCAGTCACTAAACTCTTCTCTGTTGTCATGATGTTGCTATTAAAAAGAAGATAGAAAAGGGAGGCTCTTATAAGCAATACTGTTGGCAAAACCCTAAACCCTAAAAAATTAATATACTTAGGTATTTAATTGCCAACAAACAGAATTCCAACCCATTAAACATGAGACTTTCCATTAAATTATAAAAATATCTTATCTACACATCCTGAATAAAATATTAATGCCTTGAGTCACTAAAGATATGCACATAGAGAGAGTAGCTTAAAATAGTACCCACCGAGGCCACCTTAGTGAAATACATCACGTACTAAATCCAATGCCTAGAATTGTATATAGTAAATACAGTTTTATCCTTCCTTAAAAAAGGATCATGGTTTAGTGTCCTTTGAAGGTATCAATCTGAAGGTGTAGGATTTGCAGGAATTATTCCCTGCAAAATTCTCCACACCCCAAGAGACAATGAAATTTACAAGTTCCCCAAGTCTTCATTGTTCTTTTTCTTTACATTTCTTAGGATGCAGAGACTTCTCTATTAAAATTGCAAAAGTAAAATTCTGATAGTTTGCTGTAAGACTGGACAACAGCAATGACAAGTATACAGTTGAAATAATTGCAAAAAATTTCCTTAGGTTTTCGTGTTACAATTCCAAATTACAACCTCCTTCAGAGGTATCCCTTTTTTTTTTCCTTTTTGTGGAGAATGGGGTCTCGCTATATTGCCCAGGCAGGTCTCAAACTCCTGGGCTCAAGCTATCCTCCTGCCTCTGCCTCCCTAAGAGCTGGGATTACAGGCATGAACCACCACGCCCAGCCAGAGGTATCCCATTTTAAGCTCTTTCAGTCTCTTTTTTCTCCTGATAAATACGATTTTGAAAGCTCAGCATTTTTTTTTTTTTACTTTTTTATTTATTTACTATTATTATTATACTTTAAGTTCTAGGGTACATGTGCATAACGTGCAGGTTTGTTACATATGTATATCTGTGCCATGTTGGTGTGCTGCACCCATCAACTCGTCAGTACCCATCAACTCGTCATTTACATCAGGTATAACTCCCAATGCAATCCCTTCCCCCCTCCCCCTCCCCATGATAAAAGCTCAGCATTTTTAAGAGTAGGAAGTGAAACTAACAACAGAGAAAGAAGATACAGAAGAAAAACTTAGAAAGCAAGTGTTGATTCACTGGTAGAGGGGGAGGAAAAAGCACGCAGCTGACCTTACATATTTCCAACATCTTGGCTTCTAGCCTCTTGATCTCAAAATCCCAGTATTATCAGTTAAGCTTCACAATAACAGCCAACAAGCATTGTCACGTCTACTTTACTAAAGAATAACCAACACACGTGGGGACTTTGAAAACACTGGGCAATGAAGTTGACTATTGATGACCTTCTGCTTTGATTCACTGCTATCACTAAAAGTACTTCCTCACCATCACTCACAAAGCATTTACATTGTCTTCTCATCTTCTCTGTACTAAATAAAGTAATTAAAAAATTTTTTTAAGGCTAGCGAAGTGAAGCAGTGGGAGTAAAGAAGAAACAAAGACATCTATAACTGGTTGTGATCAATTAGTTGTAAGCACCACTGCACTGGACCAGCCTAAATCAAGTAACTTTATCTGGATGTTAACAATCTGAATGAATGAACAAACTATATTTAGCTCATTCCCTCCTCAGGCCCTTCACACTTGCTGCTCTCTCTACTTACGATGCTCTTCTCCTGGCTATTTGAAGGCTGGTCTCCTTCATATCACTACCGTCTTAGGCCTTAGGTGGCCTCCCCACATAACCTGGCTAAAAGTATTCGCCTTCATGCCTCCAGATACCCTCACAGGACTACTGCTCTTATTATCTGCAATTATTTTGTTAACATATTTGTTTACCAGTTGATTGTCTTCCTTCCCTCTCTCCAGCTAAAAGTTCTGTAAGGACATGAATCTTGACTTTTTTTTTTTAATCATTGTATATCCAATGCCTAGAATAGTACTTGACATATAATAGGTATTAATAAAAGTTTTAGGCCAAGCGCAGTGGCTCACACCTGTAATCCCAGCACTTTGGGAGGCCAAGGTGGGTGGATCACCTGAGGTCGGGAGTTTGAGACCAGCCTGGTCAGTATGGTGAAGACCCGTCTCTACTAAAAATACAAAAATTAGCCGGGCATCGTGGCAGGCGCCTGTAATCCCAGCTACTCAGGAAGCTAAGGCAGGAGAATCACTTGAACCCGGGAGGCGGAGGTTGTGGTGCACCAAGATCGTGCCATTGTACTCCAGCCTGGGCAACAGAGCGAGACTCCATCTCAAAAAAAAAAAAAAAAAAGTTTTTTGGGGCTGGGCATGGTGGCTCACGCCTGTATCTCAGCAATTTGGGAGGTTGAGGCAGGAGGATCACTTGAGCTCAGGAGTTCAAGACCAGCTTGGGCAACATAGCAAGACATCGTATTTATAAAAAATTTAAAAATTAGCCAGGCATGGGTGGCGTGTGCCTGTAGTACCAGCTACTTGGGAAGCTGAGGCAGGAGAATCACTTGAATCCAGGAGGCTGATGCTACATTGAGCCATGATCATGCCACTGCATGCCAGCCTAGGTGACAGACCGAGACCTTGTCCCAAAAAAAGAAACAAAAACAAAAGCAAAACAAAACAAAAACAAAACCTAAGTTTTTAAAAAAATTAATTGATTTCACTGAATATATCTGATAAATACAAACTACAAAGGCATTCTCTAAATTTATTCAAGTAAATTTACTTCAAATGCATGACACTAATTGTTTCATTCAGCAAATTCTTATCAGGCACCTAGCACAGGACTGATGCTAGGTGCTAGACACACAAGTCAAGGTCTATGTCATCATGGAGTTTACATTCTTGTTTCAACTTTAACCAGTATAATGAAAGAAAATTTCAAGAAAATTTTTGTTTAAAACCACTATTGATACAGACAGGGGGCAGAGAAATTCTAGGCAGAAAAGGACGGGTCTCTGACGAAACCCCACCCTCAAGCGGAAAAGCATGAAACTGCAGCCCAAAGTGAGAACTTATATCCCTGTTTTCCTGCTGGAATGTTGCCTTTTCCTAAACCACCCATGGCCCCACCTCACCCCATCCTATAAAAACCCCAGACTCAGCTGGGAGGGAGAAGCGGCTGGATGTTGGAGAGAAGCAGCTTGACTTCAGAGGGATAGCTTGATGGCATAACTTTGGAGAAGAATTCGGCTGGAGATGGCTGTACTTCAGAGCAAGAGAATCTACCCACCCCTGGTCCCTTTTCAGCTCCCCTTCCTGCTGAGAGCCACTTTCATTGGCAATAAAATCCCCCATATTTACCATTCTTCAGTTCATTCCTGTGACCTCATTTTTCCTGGATGCCGGACAAGAGCATGGGAGCTATGTGTACAGATACAAAAGGCTGTCACACTGGACCTCTGCCTCACTCAGAAAAGTAAAGGGCCCATCAAGCTGCTAACACTTAAGTTGTTCACGGATGGCAGAGCTAAAAGAGCACTGTAACACGTCCGCTGGGACTTCGAGGGATGCAGATACTGCCCTCTGGATACTGCTGTGGGACCAGCATGGCCTTGAGTCCTGCAAGCACCAATGCAGCCAGCTGGTTCCAGCGCTTGTGCACTCCAGTTCCTGCCTTGTTCACTCACACGCTCCTTCCCACGAGGAGTTGAGAGTGGCAGGCTGAGTAAACAAGGTACGCCTGTCACAATTTCCATGAAGAAGTCAGGGAAATATCCTGCTTCACTATGAGGGGTCTGATTCAATAGGTCTGGAATGGGGCCTGAGATTCTACAATTCTAATAAGATATTGCCGATGCTGCTGGCCCACTGAGCACATTTTGAGTAGGAAGCACAGAAAACCACTATTACAATCACTTTGAGAACATACCTCAAAATGCCTAAGAAACAAAGACTGTAAAATGCTGCTTTTAGCAAGTGGAATATGAACAGTGGGAAATACTTGACACAGTAAGTGCTCAACAAATGCCTGTTAATTAATGAAGCAAATGATGCAACATATTAAACGTGAAATCACATATTAAATGTGAAAAGTGAACCACTAACATTTTTAAGAACTCTTTTTGGCACTTAATCAGACTTTGTAATCTTTAACCATAGAGTATGGCGATTCCAGGTTTCCTACCCAGCTGTGACAAGCGCCCAGATTCAGTGTTCTGAGTATCTCCATTGATAAGATATCTGTGCCACATTTAGGAAGTAATGATTAGGACAGGAGCCAATCACAATCTCGAAAGACACAATCCTCAATGGCATAATCCCGAGTGTTGAAATCCCAAAAGACCAAAATCCCAAAAATATAATTCTGGAAAAAGGAATTAAAAAAAATTT